CAGGAAGCCTGCTTCTCCCTCTCCCACTCCCCCTGCTTGTGTTCCCTCTCTCACTGTGTCTCTCTCTGTCAAATAAATAAATAAAATCTTAAAAAAAAATGCTATAAATGTTAAAAATAAGGTGACGTAATAGAATTTCTCAGAGCTAAGCTAGAAATAAGTCTTCAGATCTAAAGGACCCACTAAGTGTCTACCACAATAAATATAAACATACCATATACTAAATAAGTAAATGGAGAAGGAAAAGCTTTTCTTTACTGTATAATCACAATTAATAAATATAAAAGGAGTAATGGAAATAGAAAATCACTATTTGGCAAATACCACAGTATTAACAATTTCAGTCAAGAATCATCAATGGGTGCTGAGGATTAGTGGGTTCGAGTATGATGAAAAGAAAATATTTACATAATCTCAAGTTATCTCCCCACACGATACTTACTAATTATAAAGAGAAAACAGTAACTTTACAAAGGAGAAACTTGGCAAGACATCACCTTAACCAAATGATCACAATAATAAGATATGGACATCAGGAACCACAATATGATGCACTGTGAAAGGCACAACGTCACTTATGAGGTCTGTTTGCCAAAAATGCATCACTCAAATTTAATCATGAAGAAACATCTGACAAACCTGAATTAATGTTTCATGTATGTTAGACTTCTCCAACTAAAATCGAAGTTTCTATTATATGTTGCCATATTATATATTCATTATGAATTCCTCAAATGTCTATGAAAGTACAGAGTGGAAAGTGGCACTCAATGTCTGATAAAGCAGGAACACCATACTTAGACTGGGGAACAGTCCTTGCAAGACCACTTCTGTGTACATGACCCTGAACAACTCACTCAATCCCTTGGAATCTAGACAGTCCTCTCTATAAAATCAAGATACTTACACTATGTCTATCGAACAAAAGAGATGATGCATATAAAGCTACTTTTGAAATCACAGGGCACTATGCCAATGGAAGTCATTATTATCAACTCTTCATTTCACATAACAACAAAATAATTTCAAAGCTATTGTGTAAAACTAACAGTTTCAACGCACCTTGAAAATCAGAATCAGCCTGCGTTAAAATACTCAAGAACCCTCCTAAAAGATTTTTCACAGTTCCCTGAAGATTAAAAAACAAAACATAAGAAATTAAATTTCTTACCTCATGAAAGCATGAAGCAACTGTAACGTCATAATAAATGATTTGATACTCTACTGTATATACATATATAAATATTTTCAAGTAACTGGGAAGAAAGCTATGTGTACAATCACATACTTTTCATTTTCTTTTTTTTTAGGTGGTTTATACATTTATTTTTTTCATACTGTTTTGGTTTTCTGGTTTTTCAAAAACAATGACTATATATTAAGTGTAATTTACAAAATATTGCCCATTCTCAGAAATATACAAGGATTAGTTAGCCAATGACATTTTTTATGCTGCTTTAGAGAACAATGGAATTAGAAGATTTTTAGAATACCACTTGTACATAAAAACATATCTAAGGTATTATAAAAGATAAATAATCATCTCAAATAATTTTCAGACAAGTTGGGTTCTAAATAAGGAAATGAGTGATTGGGGCATGTGTGTGATAAATATTCACCACATTTAACTAAATGCCTCTTTTACCTGTTGCATGAGTAGAAAAATATTCTTTTCCTTCTGTCTGATGATTTTCAAAAAACTCTCAAATACATGGGCAAGTACATCAAGTTTGGCTTTACCAGTGGAAAGCAAATTTAATTCCAGCATACAAATCTCAGGATATATTATTTCCCCTTCAGTGAGGTTTTCAAGCAAGTCCTTTGGGCTGCTTAATGCACTGAAAACTTCTGCTTCAGGCTTCAAATCTACACCTGAAAGAGGAAAAGAAAAGATGATTTTTATTCCCTAAACACTGAATAAACATTTCAAATCTCACTTAACATTTAGGAGATCTTGTGGCAAAGTGCTCTTTATAAGAAGATTCTCACACAGCCTTTTCCTACAAGGCGACTTTTGATTACAATAAGTATCCTGGATAATCAAGTCTTGCGGATATTTTGAAGATAAATGAGTAGCTTAAAAGTAATTTTGATATCTTCAATAGAATTACAAATATCAACAGTAACTTTTATAGACATGTGATACAGATTTAACACATTTTCTCTGACACAAGTGGGAAAAAACACTATCCCAAACCTTCTGACCCCAAAATACTTTTTTTTTTTTAAAGATTTTATTTATTTATTTGACAGAGAGAGACACAGCGAGAGAGGGAACACAAGCAGAGGGAATGGGAGAGGGAGAAGCAGGCTTCCCGCGGAGCAGAGAGCCCGATGTGGGGCTCTATCCCAGGACCCTGGGATCATGACCTGAGCCGAAGGCAGATGCTTAACGACTGAGCCACCCAGGCGCCCCTGACTCCAAAATACTTAAATCACAGACTAGTTCATTTGCCTGCTCAGATCTCTGTGAAAATAATAGGTTCGGTTATTGGTTGGAGGAATTCTATACTTTGTCTTCCTCATAAGCGAGAAACAGACAGACACTGTCATGGAATATTACATTTTGGAAAATTTGACTGATGTGCTCTTAAAAGTGACTGCTGTGCTGTTTAAAAAATGTTCATGTAGTTAAGAAATTTATAAATGTCTACATAGACCAGAGTTCTTTAGATTAAGATCTAATCAGCAAACCTATAAAAAGGAGGAAGTCTGTCATTATAAAATGTCAGTATACTGATAAAACCTACACCATTGAACTAATATTTTTTCAAAAGCACTTGTTCAGAAGGTGGGGGTGGGAGGAGATGGAGGAAGGTGGTCAAAATGTACAAACTTCTAGTTACAAGATAAATAAGCACTAGGGATGTAATGGACAACATGAGGACTACAGTTAACACTGCTGTGTGATACATAAGAAAGTAATCAGCAGAATAGAACCTAAAAGTTCTCATCACAAGGAGAAATTTTTTCTTTTTTTCTTTTTTACTGTACATATATAAGATGATGGATGTTAACTTATACTATTGTGGTCATCATTTCATAATATATGTAAATCAAACCATCATGCTGCATACCTTAAACTTATATAGTGATGTATGTCAATTATTTCTTAGTAACACTGGAAACAAACAAAAATAGTTTCATAAATCAAGTAAGCTACATGAATACGTGTGTGTGTACATATACATATATACATATGTAGATTCTTTCAATTTGTGGCTGCGCTTTTGTTCTTTTCACTCTCTTTATTATATACAAATGAACAAATACTTGCTATGGGTCCATCAAGCCCTTCTGTTAGGACATCTGTGATTATGCCTTCATGCAATGGGAAAGAGAAAACAGACTGAGGAAGACAAGCTGCTGGAAACTTAGTGAAGACTAGCAGTACTGGGACGGTCATAAGGTCAACATTAAAAAGATGGAGCCTTCCAGAAAGCTCTTGGCTCCAATCAACCCATCTATTCTGTTCTACCCAAGTTTTAAAACCAGAGACAAAGGATCATGTGCAATCCTAGGGACGGGTTGGGTTGCAGTGAGCTAAGAAGAAATCTGTGCTGCAGCATCCTTGGATGTCACAAAAAGATGTCTGTATTCCTTATATTAATCAATCTTTATAACAAACTGCCTGAAATGCCCTTCCTGTCAGTATCTGTCTGGATAGTTTTTTTTTTAAATTTAGGCCTCAATATAAACCAAACATCTTCAGTGAGGCCTTCTCTGACCACCCAATCACTATCACATCACCCTGTTTTATTTCTTCATATTGTTCACTTCTGACACCTCCTGTTTGTTTTTTCTACTGGAGTATTGATGAAAGCAGGGACTCTCTCTACCTTGTATTCTCAGGCATTCAGTCAATGTTGGCAATAACAAAATATATCTGTTTTATGTTGACTATATTATAAACGCCAGAATCTATTGTCAAGATCAAATAAGATCAAAGCAATGCACTTTTTAAATTGCAAGGCAATACAAAATTCTAAAGTGGTATTACTGTAACCATTTTGCTAATTAATAATCTGATTTGCAAATCCAATCACAAGTACTTCAGTGATATTTTACCATCATCTCGGGTTTCACTATCCTCAGGATTGCTCTCACTGTCTGCTTCATAGCCTTCTTCTTCGACCAAAAGTTTGAGACTACAACACTGGGAGTCCTCAGCTTCTTCTGAAAAATCACCAGGTTGGGATGACAATTCTTCTTCAGATTGATGACTCTGTAAGATCAGTGCAATTAGAAGGCAAAAGTTGTAATATTTGCTCATATTTAGTAATAGAATGTTTATTACTCAAAAATCATTTTAAGGGGGCGCGCAGGTGGCTCAGTCGTTGAGTGTCTGCCTTTGGCTCAGGTCACGATCCCAGAGTCCTGGGATCAAGCCCCGCATCGGGCTCCCTGCTCGGCAGGAAGCCTGCTTCTCCCTCTCCCACTCCCCCTGCTTGTGTTCCCTCTCTCGCTGTCTCTCCTCTGTCAAATAAATAAATAAAATCTTTAAAAAAAATCATTTTAAGGACAGCTTCAGTGTTTTCTTTAAGAAAAAAAAACCTCAGGAATCAATATGAAGCACTATAAATTATGAAATTCACACAGCAAAATTTTCCAGAATCTCTCAACTTTATTAACACCTCAGAAATGGGGGTCTCTAACAGATGAAGCTATAGGTCATTTCAGTTTTACTGAAAAAGAAGTCTATGAAATTTCACTCTAGTTATACAATAGGAAATGACTAAAAACCACAATGAGGTGGCATTATACTTCTTACAACTTAATGCTAGCAAATAAATACTATTTTTACACATTTGTTCATGGAAAAAGATTTTTCCATAGGACTTTTATAAATAAAATGTTTCATAAATTAGATACCCAGAGGAGACATAAAAATTGTTCAAAGGGATTAATTTTAAGATTTCAGAATCCAGTTGTCTATATACAAGCATTTCAGAAATCGAGAGTTTCAGCATTAACTTCTGGTGCAATATCCTGCAGCATGAAATCTTCCTTTTCTTATAAAAATGCTACCAATATCTTCACTTTGGAACTCATTTTCACTGAAAGCATCTCAGAGTACTTTATCACTGTAACATTAATAAAAGGTAGAATAAAGTAGTATTTTAACATTTTCCAGTAAACCAATTGATTCAGGAATATGATAAAGGCATCAGTTGCTATTTCAGTAAGTTTTTTCAAGTTATGACAAACAGCAACATAAAATATTGTGGCAGAAGATTATAAAATGTCATATATATGGCTAGACTGTGAAATTAAAAGAGAAGTTACATAGAGATAAAGGACAGTTTTACTAAGAACTTACATAAAGATAAAGGACAATTAAGGGTAAAAGAAACATAAAAGAAGAGGGTAGTAAACTAAATATACACATACAGTTTCAAGAAAAAAATTAAAATAGTTCTTTTAGAAAAAAATGTTAACTTAAAAACTATGACTGCTAATTTCTATGCAAGTACTAGTCATTTTTGTATTGAGTGATTTAAAATTAAAATACAAGGTTCTGGAAATTTAACTGTACCAATATAGGATCAGAAAAGATACCTGAGTCATCACCATTCCTGAATTATCATTTAATAAACTATCAGTTACATGTAAGACTTATCAAATTAAATAATAAATTTCTGTCTCCCTGAGAATAACTCTTAGTAAACTGCCAGATTAGATGAAAAAAAGCATGTCACGTTGCTCTCCTGTTTTTTATGAGATAGGGCACTGAGTAAATACTATCCATCCCACAAGATGGAGATATGACCTCCAGAACTCACCTGACCACAACCTGGCCCATGTGTTCTAACATCCCACATACGTCTGCCTCTGCTAGTCATACCCAAACAACACAACTGGATCGTATCCATACCTTCTCAGTCATAGCATCATGATGTTCAAAATCTGCTGAATGATTCCCCAGTGCGACTCGAAGCAGGGCATCAAATAAAGGCTTTGCTAATTCTGTTTCAATCACCTTTGACTGGGAAAGATGGTCCCTCATTTCAAACAATATGTTTTCCACAGACAAGTTCTAAGGTAAAATAAAGGATACTAAGAATATTAATAACATGCTTTAAAAAAATTAAACAGTGACAAAATAAATAATATTTACTTAATAAGGAGAAAGCTAGTCCATTTATTTGCAGTAGATATGAAATTAAAAGGACTATAAATATCTAGCTCTTATACAAATACCTACTGTTACAATTCATAGTAACATTTTATTTATCAAATGCTTCACTCATCTTATTTCATTCTGAATTTCAATGGATCACAAATTAACTGTATCAAACACAAAAAAGATTAGTTGAAACTTCAGAGTTTTGATTAACCATCTCTACATTTTACAAATGCCTTATGCTTACAGATTCTGTAAGACTCTAAGAAGTAGACTCTAAGGCTGCTTGCCTATGTCCCTACATTAGGCGATGAGGCCAAAAGATGGATATGAAGCTGACTTCTCCCTTTAAGGAATTCCCTCAGTCCAGTGTAAGAAACAGATACATGTAGACAAGGTATGATGATGACCACACTAGAGCTATAAACAAAGTTCTCGGAGAAACAAAAAGAGAGAAGGTGCCTGACAGACCTGCCAAAAGTGTGCCAGGGGAGGGTTGTATGAGATGGACAATGAAGAACTAGTAGACAGCAGGCCTAGAGGCAGAGGGAGAGAGTGTGCTAGGCAGAAGCACACGTCCAGAATAACAAGGAGTGGCATCTTGAGAAGCAGCCGTCTAGCTCAGTATGGTTGATGGGCAGCATGGTGAAGAATGGCAGGACATGAAGCTAGGCAAGGAAGTGAACACAAGACACTAAAGGGCTCTGTATGCTATCCTGAGGAATTTGGATTTTTAACTGTGAGCAATGTGGAGACATCAAGATTTTTTAGATAGGAGGAAATAGGGAGACAGGAACAGCAGTAGGGAGAGCCTGCTGGCTGACCCAACAGTTAGTGATGAGTTATTAACAGGGGGTCTATCATATTTGAAGTTTTCTTAGAAGCAGGGCCTGAAACTGAGGATTCCTTTTTCAGCTGAGAAATGTTCTCAGGAAAAAATCTGTAAGGTCGTGAGGGAAGCAGAATATATTGCAGGGGGGTGGGGGGTGGGTGGGGCAGAAATCCAGGCAAAAATGTGGTTTCAGAATAAATGCTTGGCTCCTGCCTAATTCCATGGGAAGCTTTGGAGCCTGATCTGTACCACAAAGACTGTCCCCACTCCACAGAGCTATATCCAGCCATCACTGGCTATAAGCATCCTTCCCAGGCATCTGTAGAAGGGGTGTCTCCCATGAGCTAACGGCAATCCTTGGGAGATAACTCAGATGTGAGTCCTGGTAGCAAATGGCAGACGGGTGTATCAGCTTGGTAAAGGGGATCTGAGCAGGGCACCAAACAGCATCACACTGAGATTATAAAGTCTGAACTTTGAAACACAAAGTCCATTATTACTCATCTGACACATGATGCGTATCTAATGCCTTTTAGGATTGGTAACTTCGACACATGTGGATTTTGCATTCCAAACTAAACTATAAGCTTCTTGAGGGCAAGAACTGGGTCAGGTACTCCTCCGTCCTCCACAGTACCTGGTACTGTGCTACGCATACAAGAGCTTCTCAAAACTTAGACTCTTTGGAAAAACAAAATGACAATAGTTTTATGTTAGAACTTTGAAATAAGTAAATACATATATATAAAGCTGAACAAAGGACAAGTTATTACCTGATTAGGTAACTCTAATTCCATCTTTTGCTGACTAGCTCTGGTGCTATGAAGACAAATGGCCAGAAGGGCTTCCAAAAGTCGTATGCTCTGAAGTGATGGCTCACTTTCTCGACTCGTAAATATCTTTGCTTCCTCAGGAGCAGCTTCAGTAGCTGAAATATGTCCCACATTTATGGAAGAAATATGCTGTGACTCTAATTTACTTACACTGTCAGCACTCTTGTTTAGACTACCCAGCTCTGATGGTGTGGGGCTTCTTTTTACAGTTAAAGATAATAAATCTTCCTTCATGGTGTTCTCAGATTGAGAAGTTCTACTTATATCTTGGTTTTCATGGACATTTAGGCCTCCTTCCTCCTTTCCCTCCTCTTCATGACTTCTGAACAGTTTCTGTATGATCATAAATATTAATTTATGGCAAGCCTGGAAACCACCAAGCCGGTAAAACTGTTTCTGGAAAACAGGACTCAACATGTAGATCCAACGACACATGGACCAAATATCTGCTGCTTGGTGCATATGTTTGGGAGAAGGCAAGACCAGGCTCTCGGGAGATAAACAGGGCGGCATATGATGTAAAGGTTCACTCGCTGTACTGTCATAGCCAGAAGTATCTTCTGAATCATTGGCTGACTCTCTATCAGATTCCGCTTCCTTACTTACACATAAGAATGCCACACAGAGGAACAGGTTTATCATGTTGCTATGAACATCCTGGTTAACAGACTTCCGTTTCTTCGGATAGGCTTCTTTGAGACTGGCATAAAATTTGCTAAGACTCTGAGGAGAATCTGAGTAAGCTTGCTGGTTACGAAAAGAAGTACCTACATTTAAAGATGACAATTCCTTCTGTTCGACGTCTATCCCATCAATACCTGGAATTGAAGAATCTTTTTGTTGTTCCCCTAGGCTGATTATCAGAGTTTCAAATGCTTTTAGGGAATGACTTCGAACACCATCTAAGTAATTTAATTCAATTATTTGATTTACTCCATTACAACTTAAAAACAAATCTCTTATTACCCTGTGAGAGAAAAAAAAATACACAAGATTTTACATATAGAAACATCATTTATAGATAGGTACATATACTATTTAAATATGTCATTGCTCCATGTGGTATATACTAAACACTAATCTAATTTGTCAATTATCTGGCTGGTGTTCTTCATTAGAGCAGGATCTCAAATTACTTTCTAATTACTTTCACATACATCCCTCTTCAAACACTGCACATATGACTCTAGCATCATTTAGAAGGAATGGATTACATGCATCCCAAGCTAAATGAAGCAATTCGGGAAAGAACACTTTTCCCCAAACGGCAGGTTCTGTATAAATTCTAAATGCCACAACCACCTCCACACTTGAGATGCACAGACTCTGAAAACAGGCAGGCATGTGTGTGTCCATTTGTTTGTCTGCCTGATGGTTTATTCAGGACTTTTTATTTGTTTTACATCTGCACCTCATAAAGGGAAGGAACCAAACTACAGGTCTGAAGATTTTCAGCTCTGTCTCTGGTGAGTCTCATGGGTCTGGATCACTGGAATCAGAGTAGTAACTAATATAAGTGAGCTCAGCAAAGATCCAGGTTGTCCACAAATACGCCAAAGAGTTACAAAACTTGCAAATCAAAGTCAGTTCTATTTAAACAATGTGAGAATGTCAGAAATCAAAAAAAAAATTGCAAAGATAATGATAATAGGTTGTATTTTATTATGTTTTTGAAATGGTATACACATTAATTTGAAAGACCAGACTACCAAAAGCAAGCTTTTTTTATGTAATTAATTTTTAAGTACCAGACTTGACAATTGCAAAATCTGAAAAACTCATTGGTAGAATTCTAAGTAATTTTAATTTTCTTCTTTTTGCTTATCTGTATTTTCTATTTTTATATACATTGTGTATATAATACATGTAAATGTGGTATTTAAGAAATCATGATCCCCTTAAATCTACTGCCTTGACAGATAATTATCATTTTAGGTATGTGTGTATTTTACAAAGTTGTAAATAAGTGGGTGATATTTTTAAATTTGTATGTTTTATTGATAAAATATTATAAGTACTTTCTCATGTCACAGCATGATCTTCGTATACATCATTTTTAATGGCTAATAATATTCTGTCAAGTAAGTATAAATTAATTAATTTAACCTTGCCCCTGCTATTGGATATCTGTGTTGTGTCCATCTTTCCCCTCAGAGGTATAGTTAAAACTTTTTTTCCACTGAGAAATTAAAATCAATAGCTCTATGCTCTTCTCTATACCCACTCCAGGAAACTGAAATAAATAAATAGATAAATAGATCGAACAATCCATAAATGAAGGTAAAGCAAACTCTGACATGGGATGGGAACACTTTTTGTTGTTAAACTAAAATTAAATCCTAGGAAAGAATAATGGGGAAAGACAGTCAAAAGCATACAGTAAGGAAAAGGTATCTGCACACATGCACACATACAAACCTTGATTTAAGCAGAGTAGGCAGAGTTTTTAAATAAATCTGAAGCACTTCCTGAGGCAAACACTGGTCATGATGGCTACATACATGAGTCGGAGCTGACGTGATGCTAAGGTGTTGACAATGATGTGCTAATTGAACGCCTCGCTGGAGCACAGGATTAAATACGGAATTATACAGTTTCCACTGGACAACTACATTGCCTTTCTGGATTAGACTGCAGATGTGATTTGCAACCTGTACACTACGTAACCTGTCTTCTTCAAAAACAAACTTCTGATAAGCCTCTAAGGCATCCCATTTCCACAGCAAGTCTTCAGATCCGCTGCTGGGCAAGATCCCTTGAAATTTGTAGGAAGGGCTGGACAGACTTGGGGAAGGTGCAGCATCACATGAGTTTCCCTGCAGTGTCTCTTCTAATTTGGCCAGTTGATCAGGGTCAATGGTACAAATATTGCAAGTTGCTTGTTTAATTTTTTGCGGTGTCTCAGCTCCTCCTAACTGATCCAAAATAAGCTTGTTAAGGATATTCAATATATGCTGCTGAAAATGCTTCAGTGCAGGCAGCTGAAAAGCATGGAGCAAAGGGATGATTACGGATTTGGGATCCATGCAACAGCATATTCCGACGTTCTGGATGCCCGACAGAATCTGGACACAGGTGCTGCTCAAGGAAGCCTGCTGGAGTAAGCGTAAGCACTGATGAGCGCACACCGCGATACAACAGCACCGCTCGGGATAATGAACGTCTCCATCTGCAGTCTCTTCAAATGGGTTTTTGGAAACCTGGTTTTTAAAAGCCGACACCAGGAGACCTGAGAGGTCTCTGTGGTGGTGCATAAAGTGAGAATATTCACATCGTCGGTGCCTTTTCCTTGTACACATTGAATGATGAAGTTGCTCTGATTTCACTTTTTTGACAGTGCTCATGATTTTCATCACACTATTTATGAGGGCTTTCAGATGTTCTGAGGCCTCAGTGGGAACTCCCTCTCTTAAAACCAGCCATTCCATTTGAAGAACGGCTGTTTCAAATAAATTGAATCCGTGGTGCTGAATGAATTCTTGAACCAAATCCATGGCTTGACTGAAGAAGAAGGGATTGGAAGCTGCACTTTGAAGACAACAGATCAGGATCTGCAGAACCCCTTCTAGAAGCTCCGGCAAAAGAAGGGCTCTATGACGATACTTCGAAAACACAAAACCTTCTCGAACCTCCTGTAGTGTTCTCTTCTGTCTTGGTGCGAAGGGGTCAGGCTGCTTTTCTAGGCAAGTTCTAATTTTTAAAGCTGCTCTCAGCAATTCCGTTAAATTTTTCCTAAGATTTTCCGGCATCATCTCTGCAGTACTAATATCTACTGACATAAGATGCAACACTGTTCGAAAAAGCATCCGTTGAACCAAAGCCACCGGTTCTTCAGTCCAACCTGTAGAAAGCATCTGACTCTCCAAGTTGTCACTTAGATTACAGCAGTCCCCAAAGCCTGTTAGAAATTCAGTCAGTGTGGGCACTACAGTGGCTGCCAGAGCAGAATTATGATTCAAGGTCATGTCAAACTTACAAACTTTCTCTAATAAAGATAACAAAACATGACATAAGTCAAAAGGAGAATTATTCATGTGACTGATAATAGACAAGGCAGCTGGCTCACTCAAAATGTCACTGTTTGACTCCTGTCTTGGAATAATCTCCTTGGAATTTTCCAAAGCCATTGTGTCAGGAGGAGTCTGTTCTTTGGTTGATAAGTGGTCAAGTTTAGCTGTAAGGTGGTCGTCTTTAGGAGACTGTGTTGCAAAATGCTGTAGCAGACGGGGCCTTCGATGCTTATTCATCGCTATGCTCTTGTCGTCTGAATTGGCTTCTGAGTCTGAGGTGGAGAGCCGTGTCTTTCTTGCATCTCTTATCGAATAGCGGTGGGTAGTTTTATGCTGCCGTCTGCTCTTTCGAAAAATGTTTACTTTTGCAGAAACCTGACCAGATAGGGCACTTCTTTCTAAATATAATTTTTCCTGAGTAGATCTTTGTGAACTTGAGTTCTTTTCTTTGGTCAGGATTATATCAGCTGAGAATGATAGATTAAAATCTGATAAGATAAAGAAAGAAAATTTAGAACACCTTAATATGTTTTCAAACTCAATTGGTAGAGGTGATTACTCTCTTATTTATCTTCCACTTTAGGAGCTTTCCCTCAGTGTATTTATCCTGGGCTGATTTCCTTTAGCTATTTGTTATGTCTCTGGATCACTCCCCCCTACGCTTACTCTTCTCATGCTATGTACCAGGTAGCACTGGTTCAAAGGATACAAATTGATTTTGAAAACAACAAAGGAGAACAAAATTAGGGATATAGATCTGATTTAAAACCACACATTGCATTCTGACATCAACATAAGAGACTCTAGATTATCTGGGATTTAGCACTACTGTTCACACCATTTTACAAATCTCCTCTAATAGGGCCATTAATTAAGAAAAGGAGTATATTATAGTCTCAAAAATAGCATTTATTTTATAGCCCTGATATAACCTAAGAACTTTAAGATGTTCCAAAATTATTTTAAAATCATATAATAGATACCAACTGTTCTCCAAGATTGAGGTTAAAATAGAGTTTTTCATTCAAAATATTTACTGAATGTGCCACACACTGAACTAGGCACAGACATCCCTGTTGCATCCTCAGTGCCTAGAACCTAGGACCTGGAACATGGACCACATGCAGTATCTATTTCTTGGGGAAATGAATAAATCCTCCTTACTAATTAAAAAGTTAGCAAAATCAGTCTTTCCCTTTGCAATACTACATAGTAAGATCTATGTGAAAAATATAGTTGCAATTTAGAATGAATAAATAATCTATAAATAAAAGATCTGTGCCTTAATTAAGAGAGGAAGGGGAAAAATTAAAGAGTCTGACAAATTCTACCTACACAAAAGATGCAGGCAATGAAGATAACTTTCCTAAAAGAACGCTAATCGGATATCTTAAGTGAGAAACAATTTGTGAATTCTACAAATTCAGAAGAAAATGAGAGCAGAGTTAGTGAATCAACAAATAAGCAGGATAACAATATTACAAGACCTTAGATAATCCCCTAAAAAGAGAGCGCCTTATCAGAAATGTATTAAAAATGCATATATGGTGTTGAACTACCAGATAGAAGGATTTATGTTAACCTGAGATATCGTGAAACATCTCACAATTCACATATCCCAGAAATGGTCAAGGGGAAAACTGTTAAACTGTTAATTCCTCCACTGAAACATTCAAACTAAGTTTCATATACCTAATATGATATAGATATATGTGTGTGTGTGTAATTTAAAATTTTTTTTCAAAATGAGATACTAAAACTGTGTTGACCTTAAGTGTAATAATTCTATCCAGCCTTGAAACAAAATATTACTTCAAATTAATCCCTTCAAAGAACATAAAAAAAACACTAAATTGCAAAAGTCATCAGTAGAGTACTGGTAATAAAAAGCAGTCTTTTTTTTTTTTTTAGAGAGAGAGAGAGAGAGCACAAGCAGGGGGAGCGGCAGGTAGAGGGAGAGAGAGAAGTAGGCTCCCCGCTCAGCAGGGAGCCCGACGTGGGGCTCGATCCCAGAACCCTGGAATCATGACCTGGGCCGAAGGCAGC